CACGGTGGGGATTTGGGGATTTGAATCACTATAGGCTCTTAGTTCTGAGGGTTTAGGGCCAACAGGAGCGCGAAAATGTCAACATACTGGACGTGTCACACACTGTCGCGGTGCCCACATCCCACCCATCCTAGAAACCCATTACATTTCAAGACACACACTCTGGCGCATGCAAGCCATCGGGGAAGGCCGCGTGGATCAGCGAAAAACAGGAAGGAGCAGCGCGGAGCACGCGGGAGGAACAGCAGGCAGGAGGAATTGCAAAGGAACGCGCGGCGGGATGTGTGGAGTACTCAGCTGCGCGGGTGGGATGTGTCCCGCGCTACATGTTCAATTGAGAACCGCGAGGGGCAAGGAGTTCGCCCCCTTCGGCCGCGCGCGCGGGATGTAGCACGCGCCGCAATTCTAACTGAGCATCGCGCGAGTTTAAGGACTCGCTCCGCACGGTGATGTGCGCCGCACCACGTCTTTAACGGATGATCGTGAGGGGGCTGGGATTCATGTCCCCAGAGGCGGGGCCAGGGGAGTACTCAGCCGCGCGGGTGGGATGTGCCCCGCGCCACATGGTTGATGGAGGATCGCGACGGGGCAAGGAGTTCGCCCCCTTCGGCCGCGCGTGCGGGATGTAGCCCGCGCCGCAATTCTAACTGAGCATCGCGCGGGTTTAAGGGCTTCGTTCCGCGCGGTGATGTGCGCCGCACGGGGTTTCTAATGGATGGTCGTGAGAGGCTTGGATTAATGTCCCCAGAGGCGGGGCCAGGGGAGTATTCAGCCGCGCGGGTGGGATGTGCCCCGCGCCACATGGTTGATGGAGGATCGCGAGGCTCGCAAGGAATTCGTTTTTTTTTTTTTCGGTCGCGCGCGCGAGATGTGGCCCGCGCCACATTTCTAATGGAGGAGCGTGCGAGTTTAGGAAGTAGTTTCGCATGGCGAAGCGCGCCGCACCACGTTTTTAATTGATGGTCGTGGGGAGTTTTGGAAGTAGCCCCCCAGGGCGGACACCAAGGGGCATCGTTTGTTTAGGAGTTAGATTAATGTGCAAAAAAATGTTGATTTGGGTGTAGGGCCCGTCGGAGCCCGAAAGTCGTCTATTGGGGGACGCTCTCGTGGCGCTACTGGGCCTGGGTCGGCGCCCGTGTGGCTCCCCTGTTGGGGGATGTCGTGGGCAATCCTGGAGCTACCTTCAGGCCTCAGAGGCCCATCGGAAGCGAACAAGAAACGTTGAACGACTCATTGTTATTTAACCTCTTTGAGCCTCCCAGGGGTAGCAGTTGGAGGCTCCGAGCCCAATCGGAGTCGTCTTGTGGCTGTATTGAGCCACATTGGAAGCATGTTGGAAGCAACATTGGACCATCTTGGGCGGCTACCGTCTGCTCTTTTGGAGACCATCTCGGGCTATCTGGGGCCATCTTGGACCCTCGTCCAAACCCGAGTGACGGGTAGGGGGAACGACCTCCCCCCGAAGGGAACGATGGAGGTTGGAATTCCAATATGGCTACAAAGGAGTCCAGAGGCTGATCGGATACCGCTTGCTGGGGCCACCCCGCGTCTAAGGATTCGGGACTGGTCAAGACAGCCCGGAGGCTGTCTTTTACCTCCCCTCTGGCCATCCTGGACAGAGGAGCGAGAAGAGCACAGTAAAGAGAACGGCAGGGAGAAGATACGAGGGAGGGAAAAGGGAAAGGGAAGCGGGGAAAAGAGGGGAGACGGCTTGTCTTCCAGGGGGTTCTGGCCCGCCGAGCCCTTTTTTTTGGTTCCGAGCGGATCCCCAGCCGGCGGGCGAGATGGCGTCCACGTCCGCGGGCACGGGGCTTGGAAGGCTCCCTGGCCGCCGCCGCCGTTCGACGGTTCGCTCGTCGAAGGTTCGCGAGGGCTCGTTGATGATTTGGGAGAGGCTGGAGGAGGAGGAGGAGGAGGAGGAGGAGGAGGAGGAGGAGGAGGGAGAGGGAGCAGAGGGAGGAAAGGGAGGAAAGGGAGGAAAGGGAAAAAACGGAAGAAAGGAAGGATGAGGAGGAGGAGGAGGAGGGAGGAGGAGGAGGAGGACGACGAGCAGGACGTGGAGGACGAGGAGGACGAGGAGGACGAGGAGGAGGAGGACGAGGAGGACGAGGAAGACGAGGAAGACGAGGAGGAGGAGGAGGAGGAGGAGGAGGAGGGGGAGGAGCAGGAGGCGGAGGACGACGACGACGAGGACGAGGACGAGGAGGAGGAAGAGGACATGGAGATGGAGATGGAGGACACAGGCGGGAACAGGAGAAGTGAAAGGAGGAGGGGGAGGGAGGAGAGCAGGGGAAGGGGAAATGGGGGATGAAAAGGAGGGCGTGATATCTGATTCGGACATCATACCCAGTTCACCCTCGCCGCCAGCCGTCGTTGCTATCCTAGGTGAGGTGGATCCCAAAACTGACTTATAATAGTATGGGATTCAATCAAGAAATAAGGATTTGCACACGGGGCGAGGAGGAAGTGGCGGATGCGAACGAGGACCGGCAGGATGAAGAACAGGATGATGCCGTACAGAGTAGGGGGAGATGGAAGCGGATAGGCGGGACGAGGAACGGGAAAAGGATGGTGAGAAGGATCAGCAAGAGCAAGAGGGAGGATGATTATGGGGGTGATGGTGACGATGATACTAAGAGTGGTTGGGGTGTGGGAGGGGGAGCAGGAGGAGGAGGAGCAGGAGGATGGAATGCGAGGGGAAGGAGCATGAGGAGAAGGACGAGGCAGGAGGAGGAGGAGGAGGAGGATACGCCCTCCCTCGTCCATGGATAAGGAGGTGGTGTTGGAGGAGACTGGCAAGGGCGGAGCGGTAGGAGAAAGCAAACGAGTGGGAAGGAGAGGGGACATGATTAGTGGAAGTCAGACGAGGGAAGTGGAGAAGCGGAGCGGGGAGGGGATGAGAGCGGAGGAGAGGGGAGGAGAGCGAAGGGGAGGACATGATTTGGTCTTGATCCACTCATGTACCCACCCAATCCCAATGCCTCCCGTGTGTTGCAACAATCGTCCCTGGAGCAAGATCTCGCTCGTCAGGCACGCTTACAGATAGCCTGCGTGGGATGTCTTTCTGATGCCTCGCAAAAAACATAGTGTGCCCGAATGTGGTCTCGTGCTGACGTTCTCTGTTGCGTGTGGGCCCCGGCCCCCAAAGCGACGCGTGAGCAGTTGATCAGAAGAAAGCAACCACACGCGGCAGGAGTCGGGAACGCCCCGAGGGAGTGCAAGCAAGGGGGAGCAATGCAGGTGCATGCGCACTGAAAGGAACCAGCCATTGGCCCCACGAAGACAGACACACTCTCGCCCACACACACACACACACAGGCACACACCGCACACACACACACACACACACACACCCACACACACACACACACTGTGGGCCATAGTTGGCATACCGTCGTGGTGCTGATTCGTGCGACTTCTGGTGGGTGCGCCCTGCAGACCTCCGCCGACGTGTGCCGCCGCACGCGCGCCGCGCAGGCCTGCTGCGAAGAGCGCTCCCAGCATGTGACAGCGCCGCTGCGTTCGCCCACCTCGTCCCTCGCGGGCGCCCCGCACCCCCCCCGAAGGTCCGCGAGCTCGTCCTCCATCAAAGCTGCGGGACTGCAGGCGGGCGCCAGCTGCCGCCCCGCCCACCTCGAGGGCCACGCCGCCCCCTCCCTCCTCCTCCTCCTCCTCCTCCTCCTCCTCCTCCTCCTCCTCCTCCTCCTCCTCCTCCTCCTCCCTCCTCCTCCTTCGTACGCCGTCGCGGTGGCTCAAGTCCTGCTCTGGGTAAGAGCACTGGCTTCATCTCTCCATCGGCCGTGTAGAATGGCTGTGACATATTGGACCACTGGCTGACCCGCACAAACCTGAACGTAGCTGCACGCGGTCGAGTTCGGCCCCTGCCGCACTCTTGGTTGAGAGCTTGGCCACTTCGGGTGCGCATGGCTCACCGTGCGTGAACGTTCTCTCGTCGGTCTCTGACTTGGCCAGGGCCCGATCATTCGGTCCTCCTCCTCCTCCTCCTCCTCCTCCTCCTCCTCCCTCATCTGCCACCCCCTCGTCCTTCTGCTCGATGAGGAGGAGGAGGAGAGGAGGAGGAGGAGGAGGAGGAGGAGGAGGAGGAGGAGGAGGAGGAGGAGAGAGAGAGTGGGAAGGGAGGAGGGGAATGAAGCGGTGGAGGGAGGAGAGAGATGACAGAGAGGAGGGATGGGAGAGAGAGAGAGAGAGGACAGAGAGGAGGAAGAGGAGGAGGAGGAGGAGGACGAACATGATGATGACGACGAGAGGAGGAGGAGGAGGAGGAGGAGGAGCAGGAGGAGCAGGAGGAGCAGGAGGAGCAGGAGCAGGAGGAGGAGCAGGAGGAGGAGGAGACCCGCCCGTTGGTGCCAATGGCCACCATGGCGTTGTTCGGCCGGTCTTCGAGCTCGCGCGCTAACCCGACGGCAGGGCCAGTCCGCTAGGGAGGAGCTCTGTCGGCGGCGATCTGAGAAGGTAAAGCGTTCTCGAGACCACATTCCATTGGCTTTCGGGCGGTTGGGGAGGAGGAGGAGGAGGGTCAAGAGAAGAGAAGGATGACGAGGAGGAGGAGGAGGAGGATGGCGATGACGACGAGAAGGTGGAGAAAGGGGAGGAAGAAGCAGAGCAAGGAGGAGGGCCTTCTCGCCCCCTGCTGCTGCTCCCTCTGCTGCCGCGATTGCGCAGTGCGTGCAGGTAACTCCACATCGTCTTTGCTCATACCTCATATACACTATGCCTCCTGCTCCCCCATTTGCATCCATGGCCTCCAGTCCTTCCTCCTCGTTCCAGCCTTACCCTTTCATCTCCCCTTCCACTCCCCGCTGGCCTCCTCCTTACCCTCCTCTGGGGGCGTAGCCATTTTGGCTCAAGACGCTTTGTTCCACAGGGGAACACGTGGATACCGCTAGTCCGCGGCCAGTCTTCAGTCCTTCCCCTGGTCAGCCCCAGGGCGAGCGTCGAGGTGGCCCGCCCCGCCTTGGCGCGTCTCTCTCATCCCAGGCATGGTGCCGCAGCCGCCAGCGGTCCCGCGCAAGCCCCACTGGTGCTGCGGGCAGTGCGGTCGCGCGGAGAACTGGGCGTGCCGCATCCAATGCCTCTGCGGTCGCGATGCGCCTGCCGCCATTGTCTCCCCTGCGCGCCAGAAGCACATGGAGACAGGCGACGGCAGTGGCAGCGGCGGCAAGAAGGGGGCTCCCAAGAGGCAGGCGGGTGCTCCCAGTGGTCTGCCGAAGGAGCTTGCCGGGTGGATGCAGACCATCGAGAAGCGCCTGGCGCCGCCCGCTGCCGTGTGGCCCAAGCCTGGAGGCACGGCGCCGTGGCACGAGTCTGCTACAGGCAACAGTGCCGATCCTGACAAGAAGTCGAAGAGTGCCAAGCTTGCCGAGCGGATCACGGAGCTTAAGGAGGCCCTCAAGAAGCTCCCGCCCGCTGACGAGCGCAACACAGATTTACGGAGTCCGATCGAGAAGCAGTTGGAGACATTGCGTGCGAAGAAGCGGGCGCCATTGTCTCCCCAGGCCCTCCATCGGCGCACACAGCAGGACCTGCAGCGTGCGCGGAACGGCCTCGAGAAGTTGGAGAACGAGTTGGCCGAAATGGAGAGTCAGTTGGCTGAGCTATCCAAAGGCATCGAGCTGCGCAAGCAGACCGTCGAAGCCGAGAGGTTGGAAGTTGCGGCGCTCGACGCGGCCTTCGCCGAGACGGCCAAGGGTGTCACCGCCAGCGCTGTCGACATCGACCCCGTCGAGGACGACGTGGCCGACCAGCCTGAGCTCGTTGCCATCCTCAAGCCGGAGGCCTGGACCAAGCTCAAGGCCGCGGTCGCCAGCAAGGCTGCGGCCCGTGGCTGTGGCGCTGGGGCTGATGGTGCTGCTGCAGATGACGGTGATGTACCCATGGGTGTTGGCCCGACTGACTGCTCGGACGGAGGGCAGCATCGACGATTTCATGCAGGCGTTCGACGCCACGTGGTCCGAGGTGGAGCTCAAGCGCGCGCGGCGGGTTTAGCCCTGCTGCCGTGTTGGGCTCGTTCCGACCAGGAGTTTGCACTGGCGCTGCTGAGGGCCCACCATGCGCCTGGCCCGACGTCTGCGGGCTGCCTGGCCGCGGCCGTGCGCCGCCGCTTGGGGCGCGGCCTGCCCTGGGTGCTGAGTTCAGCATCGAGCCCTACAGTGCGAGCGGTGGCAAGGCGTCCGTCAAGAAGCGCCTTGGCAGCACCGCGGACAGCACCGTGCTTCTGCAGGAGTTCGTGCACATCAGCGAGCACGTCGAAGCCCTGAGCTCCTGGCGTGGCGGTCGAGGCTGGAGGCTCTTGGCGCTTCCGATCCTGCCCACGGTGGGCTCGGTGCCGTCTGCAGGCGTTGCCATCGCTGTGCGCGACTGCCTGGGCGCGCGGCCCCCAGTCCCCGGGCGGCACGAGGTCTGGCCAAATCGAGTTCAGCACGTTATGATAGATGTGCTTGATCTGCCCACCAGCCTCCACGTCTTCAATCTCTACCTGTTCACGGGTGAGGGCGCTGGCGGGCGGAACGGCAGTTTACTGCGGGAGTTGGGCCTGGCTGCCGAGGCTTGGGGCGGCCCCGTGATCATTGGCGGCGACTGGAACATGCACCCTGGTGAGCTGGAGGCGAGCCAATTTCCTCCCCATGTTGGTTGCACGCAAGCGAGTGCACCTGCAGTTACGTTTCGCGGAGGACCAGGTCAGTCCAACATCGACGAATCCCTTTTCAATTCGGCGGCCATGAGGATGTAATTATGCTAGTGCCGCCATTGATGTCAAGTGGGCTAAGCGCGGCCATCGACCAGCCCACGCGCTCCTCAAGGGCGATGCCGAGCACGTCAAGAGGCTGGTCTACACGGCGGCGCCAAAGATGAGCACCCAGGTTATCATTGGCCCTCAGCCCCCGCCGCCGTCACAGGACAGCGCGCGGCGAGTCGCTGAAGCCGCCGTCGAGGCATGTGCTGATGAAGGAGTCCCTCCTGAGGTTGGCTGTGGCCCCCTTTTCTGCTGCCTGGGGCCATCTCGCCGCGCGAGCTGCCGAGGAGATCGATGCTGCTGTCGGGCACCACGATTGCAATGTTCGAGCTATTGCGCGCCCTCTACGGCCTCGATGGGTCGACATCACCTACGCGATTAAGGACGCCCCCGACCTTCAGGCTGCGCCTGAGGGCTGGCAGCGGTTGCAGAGTTCTCTCCTCGGCATCACGGGTCTCAAGAGGCTGGTCAGCCCATCCGCGCAGGACCTCGCGACGCGCGCCGAGGAGGTCCTCAATTTCACCACGGCGGTCTCCCACGGGCAGGGCCTGTCCACGCGCCTGAAGCGCCCCGCCCAGCAGGCGCGAGCGCTCGCGCAGGACGATTTCGACGAGGAGGTCTGCCGCACGTCCCATGACGACATCGAGCCCGGCATCAAGCTCGCGGCCAGTGTCGCGTCCAAGGAGGATCGCCAGAAGTGGAAGGAGTGGTGTGCGATGGCGGTCTCCAGTGGCTCACGTGTCCTCCACCGCACCACTAAGCACCGTGACCTTGCACAGCCCACAGTGGTCCCGACGGCCCAGGGCCCGATGGCACACGTCCACGACGTTGTTCGGCATGAGGTTCAGCCGCGCAAGAAGTTGCGGTCCAGCTCCCGACCTGCGCCGGCTTGGACCCCTGATGGGACTGCGTCGGAGAGGGCGACCGCCAAGGAAAAACGCGCGGTTGCTCGGACGTTCTCCTTGACTACCACGGCGGCGCCTGACAATGTGCACCCCCGTCACTTCCTGTTGCTAGATGACGGGGCGCTCGAGGTGGTCGCCTTCATTTTCTCCGCGATGGAGGCCCTCGGCCTGCCGCCGCGGCAGCTCTGCTGGCTGGTCACACCGACGTTGCCCAAGTCGCCTGGCTCGGAGAATCGGTCGGCGGTGCTCCACGCTGGCCTCTACAGAGTGCGGCGGGGGCTGCAGGAGCGGATCGACAGGCCGCACTGGGGCGCGGCGGGAGGGCGCCCCTCTGTGGACTGCGCGCGGCTTCAAGCGGCCGAGGGCGAGGCCGACCACAAGCAGTCCTACCATGGGGCACTGGCTGTAGCCGATTTCAGCAAGTACTACGAGCGCATCCCGCTGGCAAGACTGCAGGACAAGTAGATCAGTTTCCAGGCACCGACGGCTTTTTCTGAAGTTGGTGCCCAACATGTGGCGTGCACCTCGTGTCCTTCGGCTCGCCGGTCACCACGCGGAGCGGGCTCTCTGCGCTGAGTGCGGCCTTCCTGCAGGCGGTGTGCATTGCGACGTTTCCGTCAAGATCTGGTCGGCGAGGGAGTGCGATAGCTTCCTCGTCAGGCAGCCGTGCATTCAGTTTGTGAATTAGATCGGCGACAACTCGATTCGGGCGTCGTCGACGTCTGCGGCGACGACTACATCCATGATGGTCGAAGCCATGCGGGAGTTCAAGGCCGCGGTCTCGGAGCCCGGCGCAGTTGTCAATGACAAGCTCGCGATCGTGGGCACCAGTTCCCCCCTCGCGCAGGGCATCGTCACCGCGCTTGGTCTGGCCCCCTCAGGCGCCCGTCGCAGCGCTGTGCATGTCGGAGTTGACGTTAGCGAGGGCAGTCTGCTCGCCGACAGAGGGGCCCCCACCAAGCGCATGAAGCGCAGGGCGCATATGGTGAGGCGCATGCAGAAGATCAGGCGCTTCGGGAAGGTCACCACTGGCATCAAGGCGCAGTCCATCGGCTGCGTCATCCGCGCTGGCGCCATGCCCGAGGCCACCTACGGTAGCGAGGTTGTCGGACTCAGCAACTCGGAGAGGCTTCGGCGCAGGCGTGACGCGGCGCGTGGACAGCTTCCCGTGCGCGGCGGAGTGAGCCCCTCGAGCAAGACGGTTTTGCCGGGCGACGGCGCAGGCGCGTCAGCCATTGCACCTGCCATCCAGTGGCGCAGAATGCGTTGGCAGGCGGAGGTCTGCGAGCATCCGCTCGCTGTCCGTGCTCGCCTGTTGAGGCTCTGGCGCGAAGCCGAGCCATGCGAGGTCTCCGATTGGCAGTCCAGTAGGGGCCCTCTGTCTCGAGCAGTTCTTGCTGTGCGACGTGCGGGCTGGCGCATCCCCCCTGCGATCAGTTGGATGGACCATAGGGGAGCTACTATTGATTCTAGTCGAAGGCCTCCGAGCATGCTGCCGGTCCTCATGTTCGCTGGAATTCAACGGCAGCACGAGATGTTATTAGCCATGCAGCTGGGAGCTCCGCAAGGTTCCAGGGCCTCGCCCGACGTCGTTCGACCGGCGATCGGCGGTCGGCCTCGTCGGCTTTCCAGTCTGCAGAAGTTTCTCGTCGGGAGCTTCTCTTGCCGCGGTGTGTGGACCAAGGCCCGCGCCCATGCTGCCGGCTACCTCTGCGATGATTTCTGCGCGTGTGGGCAGAGGCAGACGATCAAGCACTGTCTCTTTGAATGCATGTTGGGTCCAGTTGTGGCTGCGCGCATCGAGTCTAAGGTCAGCCCGCTTTCCTTGAGTGCAGGCCTTGAGTTTGACGATCCCATCTTTGTCCAATGAGTGTTTCTTTATGATGAGGAAGAACCCCTCCCTTCCTGCTCGGATAAAGTAGTCCTCGAGGGCCCTGAGGGGGAGGAGTTGGACGTTGAGGTGGAGAGGGGTGGCTTCTCTGGTGCAGGGCCCTCGTCTTGACGTAGCCCCTGACGGATCTTGCGCGCGGCCAGACTTTGTTGAGCTTGAGCGCGCTTCCTGGTCCATAGCCGTTGCGTCACCTGACTCGAATGCGCCCGTCGCAGTGTGACGCGCGGGCCCGTGGCAGGCTACCCCCCCGACTTCCGAGCATTGCCGAGAGCGTTGCGCTCTGTTTGATTCGCCAGATCGCCGACCGCGAGACACTCGCTGGAAATGATTGCCTGGCCGCCACCCGACGGTTTCACCAGCCCATGCCGACCCAGCTGCGCGCGTCAAACCAGGCAGCGGGCATCCTCAAGTTTGGTCGCGGCCTCGAGGGCCACCAGTTCATCTCGGCTCGGCACGTCAAGGCTCATAGGCCCCAGGAGCAGTTCGAGAGTCTGGAGGCCGAGGAGCGTCATTGCATCGGAAAAAGAGTAGTCGTGGGGGAGGGGTGGCACTCTTGGGGCCTGGGTGAGCTGGGATGGCAGTGTGAGGTATGCTTGAAGGTTGCGCCGTCATGCTGCAACCTGCCTTTGAATGGATGTCTCGGGACCCCGTCTTATTTGAAGCCTCTCACGGTTGACGCGATGGGGCGTCAGTTGGTCGCCGTTAGTGGTTCTCGTTTTCTTGCGCTGCGTCCCGTGCAGTGCCGTGCCGAAGTCGAGAGTGAGTCTCGACGGGGCCCCCTGCTATGTCTGAAGTGTGGAGGTGGAGTCAGGAGAAGACCATCAAGTTAGCCAGGCCCTGCGCCCCATCCACCAGCACAGGAAAATGTTTATGTTTCGATTTCGGACAGGGCTGGCCCCAAATCCCCAAATTCGTGCGTTGATCGACCGAGCCATCCCTGCCCCTCGAGTCGGTCTCAGTGTTGCGAGTGCGCGGGATGTCCGAGCGCCGACGTCTGTCGTGCAGTATTCATCGGACAGCGTCATCCCGTATGAAGCTCGAACGCCACGCCTCCTTGAGCGGGTTCGTGCTCGAGAGGAGGCTCGTAGCAAGGCTTAAGTTTTGGAGCGGGTGCACCTGCCGCTGAGGGCGAGGGTGGCATGTGGCCTCCACTCTCGTCCTCTGCAAATTTCCCCTGGTGCACCCTGCCCCCATTTTGTACTGGGCTGGCTCCTCCCTCCTTGGACTGTCTTCCTGGGAGTCGTCTCATCGCATCTCATCATTACCCTCCTCTGGGATAGGGCGAACAATATCGCCCTCCCTCCCGCTTTCTCCCTCCCTCCTTCCCTCCCTCCCTCCCTCCCCCCTTCTCTCTCTCTCTCTGCCCCAGGCGACGCACATCCCGAGGCGCGCCGCGAACCATGGCACGTACGTGTCGATGGCGGACGCCGCGCGCCCGGCGCTGAAACCAGGCCCAGTTGTTGCGGGTGTGGGCCCGCGGCACGCAGTGCCCATCTCCTGGCGGCGCGCAGAGGGGGGTAGGAGGAGGGGGGAAGGCTTCTTAGAAGGCGGCTGCTTCTTAGAAGGCGCCAGCCTTACATTTGTAGACAGGGCCCGCGCCTTTTAAGAAGCAGGGGTGCTTCTAAAGAACTTTCCCCCTCCCCATACCCCCTTGTGCGCGCCGCCAAATCTCTCCCAGGCAGTGGCGACGCGGCCTGATTTGCCGACAGGCCCACCAAATAATGTTCTAGGAACCTGCTGTGGTTGGCACGAAATGCGATTAGAGCATGCATGGTTGAGGCGGTCTTGCTTGAGCTCATCACTCGTATGTTGTCAGAACATCGTTTCTGTTGTTCGAACACTCTTCAGCTCTAAGAGCATGTCCTGGTAGGCCTATCGGACTGCCCGGACGGTCGATCCCTGCTCGATCCTCGAATTTGGTTCTTCCAGGGGACGTGGCTCAGAACAAGCGCACGAGCAGCATCAGCAGGAACCAGGATGCTGAGAAGCCAGACGAGGCAGGCGGTCGGCGGCTCGTTTCTCCCAGCAGGGCTGCGCACGGCCCTAACGATTCGATTACCCATGCTGGTTGCGCACCCCTGAGGGCCACCAAGTCGACACGGTCCACTCGAGATGCACAAACGAATGTATCGGTTTACGTTTTGAGCGGAGCAGGCGCATAGTTTGGGCAGCCCGAGCAGGGCACCTGGGGGGGGTGGACGGCATGTCTTCCGGACTGCGGTTTGTCCCGCGGCAAGTCGGGGCGCTAGAACATCTTTCGGGCCCCCGCAGAGCTCCAGCCAGTGGCGGTTGTATCTACGGGGGAGTCTGCAGTGTAGAAGTACAGTGACGCCATGCACCGCTCTGATTAGTTGCGCATCATCATCATCATCATCATCATCATCATCATCATCATCATCATCATCATCATCATCATCATCATCACCATCATCACCATCATCAGCATCCTCATCATTAGCAGCAGCAGCAGCATCATCGACATTATCCTAATCATAAAGATCATCAGCAGCAACATTAGTCGCTAAATCATCAACATAATCAGCATCAGCATCAGCATCAGCGTCATCATCACAATCATCAGCATCAGCATAAGCATCATCGTAATCATCATCAGCATCATCATCATCATCATCATCATCATCATCATCATCATCATCATCATGGCCGTCGGCGTAAACTCCCACGTGGTTCTTATCCTAAAGAGGGTAATCGACGAGCTTCGCACCCTTTGGCACTACGCGAGGTGCCGCCTCTGCCCTTCAACAAAGGGCCCCCTGTTTTTCAGCGTGATGGACTCGGCGCTGCTAAGGCACTCCTGCGAGAACTGGGTGCTGACGTTGCTGTTCGCGTTGCTGTTCGTCAGGTGTCTCCTGATGTCGTTCGCGAGTTTCCCGATCCATCCTGGAACCTTGGTGCGGACCCTCTTCATAATGTACCCGGTGGTCGGGCCGATCTGGATCTTCCTCCTGAGCCCAGTTGCGACGATCAACGGCGCGAGTTTGGTCGTGCGCCTCTTCTTCATGAACCTGGTCGGGGATATTTGTTTCTGGACATGGTTTGCTGAGCTGCCGCATGATGTCCGCGAGCTTCCCGATTCACGTCACGAGTGTGGTGCGGACCTGCATCCTGATGTATTGCGTGGTGGTGCTGAGATGGCTCTTCCTTCTTACTCCAGGTTTCGTAATAAAGGGGGGGGGGTCTCATTTCGGGGGGGGTCTCTTCCAGGCTATCTTGGAGGGCCTGGGGGGTCTGGGGACGATGTTTTTGAGGGTTCTCCCACGGGGGAGGTCTGAAATGGCTTGTCTTGGAGGGTCCAGACCCCATCCCTTTTATTACGAAATCTGGAGTAGCCTTCTCGTGACGACCTGCGTCGTGAATTTGGTCGCGCGGCCCTCCTTCGTGAGCCTGGTCGGGCAGGGCTGGCTCGTGAGCCTGGTGGCGCGGAGCCTCGCCCTTCCCTGCGCGGTGCCGTTGGAGGCGCGGCTCCCCGCGGGGCGCAAAGGTTGTGGTTGGTCGCGGGGGCGTGTTGAATTCTGCTGGGTCCTCGTCGTTCCTCGTCAAGCAAGATACTCCAGATTTCGTAATAAAAGGGAGGGGGTCACAATCCTCCCAGACCACAAGTTTTAGACCCCCCCAGACCATCCATGAAAGGGCGGCACTTTGCCCAGACCCCCCCGAGCCCTCCAAGACAGCTCAAATCAGACCCCCCAAAAAATGTGACCCCCCCCACTTTATTATGGAATCCGAAGTAGCTACGAGGTGCTCGGGCATGGTTTGGGCGGCTCGCTGGTCGTTTGCGCAGCGCTGTCGACGCACACCCCTCTGGATAATGGAGGATGACGATTAATAAATGACCGGGGGTCGTGTTCACGCGGCGGCGCCCGGGATGACGATTAGAAAAAACCCGCCGCGGGCTGGAAAACTATTTCTTCAATCGTTCTTCTCCAATCAGAAAATTGTGCAGAAATAGCAGAAAACTATGTTTTCAGTCGTTCTCTCCCATTTTTTGATTAATCGTCATCCCGCATTACAGATCCGGCTTGCTCGATGCTGATCTGGCTTCGCGGCATGATCGAGGTCCCTGAGCACGGCATGTGCACCAGGAGGCGGCAGAGCCCCGTTGGCCTGGGTGGGTCGATGCTCGCGCCGGCTGCCTCGTTCAGGGGAGCCAGAACTGGGGGAGCTGTGGTCCTTACCCCCCTGGGGGACCCATCGATTTCGACACCCCTCTCGAGAGATCGTCGATGCGATGGGTTCCCCCAGGGGGGTAAGGACCACAGCTCCCCCAGTTATGGCTGGTCGGTCGTTGCGTATTGTCCCATCGTTTTGTCGTTTGGGCTATTTTTGGGCGGCGTGGGGGGCCTCCTTGGGTCGTCTTGGACATTACGTGAAAATTCAAAAGTCGCGTATGCAAAAGATGGCGCGCCCTCAGGGAATGGGACGAAGTTTGCCTCTTGGCGCCCTCGATGGGGTGCTCTTGGGGTCTCCTTGGAACGTCTCGGGCGTTTTTCCGGCCGACTGGAGTCCATCTCTAACGCATTAGACCGCTCGTTTACCGATTCCGAGGCCTGTTGGGCCATCTTGGGGCCCTCTCCGGACACTCTCGGGGCACGCTTGGCTTGTCTTGGGTCTCTCTTGCGGGCCCGAACAGGTCACGCGGCAAGGCGCGACGGGCCCCAGGAGGCACCCAAGAAGATGTGAGAATTGGGGGCATTGGCCCCCAGAAGTATCCTCAGGATTGAGGACTGAGGTTTAAGGGATTCGGCAAAGGAAACAAGGGCAGTCGGCGGCCTGTGGGGGGCATCGGCGGCCTGGCGCCCCCCCCCCCCTCCTTCCCTCCTCGGCGGCTGGCTGGGCTGCCGGCGGCCTGCCGCACCCAGCCCGACACTTTCGGGTTCATTAATGAATTAATTTGGGCTGCGCGCCGTTGGCGCGCCGGCAGAGGCAAGGCCACCAGCACGCCTACCCCTTTTCACCCTTTTATACACAAGGGCAGTCCAACTCGTGCCCCAGGGTACGGTGGCAGATCGAAGAAGCCCAAGTCAAGCGTTTTGCCCGCGTCCCAACTCCCTGGTTGCGCGCATGGGCTCGCCTACACCTTAGGCGATGCTTAAGAAAACTTAAGCTTTCGGCCAGAGTCTCGATTATTCTTAACGTTGCAATGTAAATCTTAAGATTGTAATAGAAATGTTGGGTTTTTATTCAAGTTCTGAGATTATGAGTTTCTTAACCCATGAATTCTTAAGCATTTCGCAGGGTGTATCGCAGAGTTGCTTGAGCGCTGCTCCAGGTGTTTGGATTGCTTCTCCACCTCTCTCCCCCCTCCCCTCCTCCCTGATTGTGGTGGCGCCTGCCTGGCAGGCCACTTTAGAGCCCTGCCGCTGCCGAACTCGAGCTTACAACCGAGGGGGGCGGACATAGCCCCCACGAGCGGAAGCGGATTTAATGTTCAGGCAGATTTCTTTGGCCGTGGACGGGCATCGCGTGCTTGTGTTTGACGGTCGCGGTCATGGAAAAACAGGCAGCACATCAAAACATCAGGCGCTTGTACTTTGCAAGGGAAGCGCCCTTGGACCGCGCGCGTTTACAGACAGCACTCCTGCACGGCAGTCGAAACCCCGTGCTGTTTGTTATTGGACTGGTGGTCAAGCGGAATGGACGTTCGCCTTCGCCTGGTGCGCGCGAGAACGGTGCCCACACGGGGGTGGAATTGATGCCCCCACGCGCAGCCGGCACGGCAGAGCGGGCCTTCCGCCACCTCCGCCGGATCCCCCGCGACCAGGCAGAGCTGGCGGACGGGAAGCGCGTCGCGGCGGCGGCGAGGGCCCTCGCGCAACGTTGGGGCGCTGAGCTCAGCAACGCCCCGCAGCGCGCGAAGGCGGGGCAACTGCGCGCCGCCCCGAGAGCGGACTGCGCAAGCCCGGCGGCCAAGCTGCAGGCCGCCGACGCGGCCTAGCGGAGCTGGGGCGGTGCTCGCTGTCGCCTGCTGAGTCGTCGCGCTGGCGACCATAGCCCTCGCGTTCCCGGCGGTAGGCAGGGGGCGCGGGGAAGGGTGCGTTGGCGCCTCGATCTTTTTCGGTTTGCAGGAACGGGGGGAAGAAGAGGGGGGGATCGTAGGAGGATGAGGAGGAAGGGGAGGGGAAGCAGGAGGAGGAGCAGGAGCTGGATCAAAAGCAATAGCAGGAGCAGGGGCAGGAGGAGAAAGACAAGAGTAAAACCCAAGCTGAGAAACAATGCTGCAACACCCCCCGCCGGTCCAAAACCCCTCCCCATCAGCCCCTGCCGCATTTCCCACCACGGGCGTTCCCTCCCGAAAGACGCGCGCCCAGTGGTCCAAAGACTCACGCGAGGTCGCCATGCTGCAAAGGAGCCGCCATCCATGTTTCTGACTGATGGAGGATGACGATTAATCAATGACCGGGGGTCGCGTTCACGCGGCGGCGCCTGGGATGACGATTGGAAAAGACCGGCCGCGGGCTGGAAAACTTTTTTTTTTATCGTTCTCCTCCAGTCCGAAAATTGTGCAGAAGTGGCGGGAAACTATTTCTTGTACTCCAGACTTCGTAATAAAGGGAGGGGGGTCTCATTTCGGGGGGGGTCTCTTCCAGGCCATCTTGGAGGGCCTGGGGGGGTCTGGGGACGATGCTTTGGAGGGTTCTCCCAGGGGGGGGGTCTGAAATGGCATGTCTTGGTGGGTCCAGACCCCCTCCCTTTTGTTACGAAATCTGGAGTAATCGTTCTCTCCCATTTTTTTTATTGACCGTCATCCCCCGTTACAGAAAGTCCAGGGAGCTGTCCAGCGAAAGCCCCGCTGTGATATAGCCAGCCGCCCTCCACCACCAAGCCCTGCCAGGTGTCTCGTCCGGCGCCTGGCAATCACGCCAGGAGAAAACTCAAGCGACAGCCCCGATTCGGGAGAGGAAAAATACACACAGACACAATCAATCGTCGATTCCCAAGAAAATATTGGAAAATATGGGAAGCGTGGGGGGAAGGCAAAAACCCAGAAAATATGTGAAAAGATTGGGAATATGTTTATTTGTGTGTCTTTATGTCTGTTTGTGGGCCCCTTCAAACTCAAACGACAGCCCCGATGCGAAAAAGAGTCGCCCTCCAGCCGTGTATTGCGAAGGCCTCACGGCAGGTGCCGCCGACCCTGAAGCGGGACGACGACGAAGGCAGTGACGATGAAAATACTCACAAAGCTAAGGAACATGTGTGATTTTGCTCTCTTGGGGTTCTCTTGAGAGTGCTCCTGGGACTCTCTTGGGCCTCTGGGGGGGCTCTTGGTGGCGTCTGGGGCGCCTCCTGGGGCCTCCTGGGGGGCTCTTGGGGCGGAAGGCTCGACATGTTGGTTGGTGGACCCCCTCTGAGGACCACTTTACTGTGTGTACGCCGTCGGGCTGCCGACGACGACGACACTGACGCGGGTCAAAGTCCTCAGGGATGCGTCTTGGGGTCTGGTCGAAACGCTCTTGGGGGCCTCGGGGAACAGTGTAAGGGTTTCTTGGGAGCCTCTTGGGGGCCTGTTGGGGCTTCCCGGGGGCCTCTCGGGAGCACCTTGGGGTCTCTTCGGGGTTTCGTGGTGGCCTTTGGGGGCCTCTTGGTTTCTCTTGGAGGCACTCGGGGCGGAGGGCTCGAAATGTCCGTGTTGGTCCGTCGTCTCGGCACCGTCTTGGAGCCGTCTTGGGAGCCTTTGGGGCTCTTTTGGCGGCGTCTTGGGCCGTCTTGGGGCTCTCTTGGGCCGTTTTGGGTCGCCCGTGGAGCCCTTTGGGGCTGTCTGGTGGCGATCTGGGAGGCCGCTTGGCGCGTCGGGAAGCGGTAGAAGCGAGAACGCCGAAATGATACAAAAACCAATGGGAAATCTACGATTTGTGCAGTTGAGGCACTCTTGGGACTGCTCCTGGAGGCCTTTTTCAGCGTCTTGGAGGATTCCTGGGCCGTCTGGAGGCCAAGCCGTCTAGGCGTCTCTTGGACAGATCGTTCGGCGATTCGGGGCCCTCGTGGACTGTCGTTGGGAGCTTTTGGGGCACTCTTGGCCCATCTTGAGGCTTTTTTGCGGCTGGCCCGGGAGCCCCCCGAGGGGAAGCTTATCTGACCCAGGACCCCCGCGGGTCCGGACCCGGGACTGGACCCAGGACCCCCCTCCATTCCCGGCGGGGGAGGGATCAAATGGAAGGGGCCGAGTCTATGACGACGTTGCTCAATTTCGCTTTGGCTGACGCGCTCGAGGAGGAGAGCCCAGGAAAAGAGAGAGGAGCGGCGACGGGCAGAGGGAAAGGAAAGCACAGGGAAAGAGGACGACAGAGACGACGATGAACGAATGATGGCGACGACGACTCGAACGGAGAAGCCCCTCACACACGCCGACAGGATCGGCGGATTTTGTTGTACATGTTTAGGTTCCTTGTCCTGAGGAGTCATGCCGAAAAGAAATGTCAAATTGAAATGGAAGCGCCCTCCACCCGTGCAATTGTTGGAAGCGCATAGGACGAATAGCCGCGGCGCTGAGGCGAAAGCCTCATCCTCTCATACGCGTAGGTGTTGGATTTTTTGCTAGATATGGATCGCCCTCAGTCGGTGGAGCTGCCGGAGTTTGCTATGACGAATGCACGCGGCTTTGAGGCGAGAACCACACTCATCCGCGAACTGATCGAGGCTTTTTAGACGAATACGCGCGACGTCAGGCAAGATCAGCATGTTGAAAACCGCCGCCGTCCATGCAGCAAACTGCCGGATTGGTTTTACAACCGATGTGTTCGCTGCCGAAACTAGAATCACATTTTGAAAACGACCCCCCCCAGCCCCTCCGCCCCTTTCCACACGTGTACGTGTTATGAGTCTTGTAAGACGAAAGTGCGCGGCGCCTGGGTGAGAGCCACATCTTGAAAACGACCCCCACCCCCAAACATACATCCGTCTAGTTTTCGAAAACTTGTAGCATCGAAGGGCCAACCAGGGAGACCTCCGGGCCTACCCTTGCCAGTGGGTCCAAGGAGCTATCCGGGAAAAAAACAGGTTGCAGAGGAGCAGAATTTGTGCGAAGGCCTTGAGGACGAGCTCTGAGAACTCTGGACAGGAGTTTCCGGAAACCCTTACGGCATAGCATTGGGAAACAATGAGGAAAGCGTTTGCGGGGCACGTTGCGAGGCCAGAGGAGGCTTTGCGAAGTGTTTGAGGCGTTGGCGGTAATCCCTCAACCTTAGCTACCGCCGGGAAATTCGTCGAGCTTCTTTTCCTGAAGGATGTTACACACAAGTGATGAACGTTCGACGCAGCGACAAAGTTGCAGCAGGAAGAGAGCTTCCGAGTATAGCTCGAATGGCAGGCCGACCGTGGCGCCCCCGAGACTGCAGACTGATGCGTTCCATGGTGTCTGGTCCCATGGTGCGCTTGCTAGCAGGACCGAGGCTGACTGGAAAAGTTGGACGCAGCAATGCGAAATGAGGCTCTCGCAGGCGAAGCGCCCAGCCCGCCCTTCCGACGCCTCGTGTAGTCAGACGGGGAGGAGGAGGAGGAGGAGGAGGAGAAGGAGGAGGAGGAGGAGGAGGAGGAGGAGGAGGGGGGAGGGGGGAGGAGGAGGAGGAGGAGGAGGAGGAGGAGGGGGAGCAGGAGGAGGAGGAGGAGGAGGAGGAGGGAGGGAGGAGGAGGAAGAGGAGGAGGAGGGGGGAAGGGAGAAGGAGGAGGAGGAGAAGGAGGAGGAGGATCCGTGGCTGGCAGGGCAGGCCAGACGCACCTGTCCGAGCGCCAGCTCTACAGCAGCGAGGCGGGGGCCCCGCAGTCCACCTACCTTCAGGCCGGCCAGCGGCCCCAGCCGGCGTCCTCTCGCGCGGGCCGCCTCGCAGAAGGCGGGAGGCCACCTTGGCACCGTCGCCCCCCCCTTGCCCCGTCGCCCCCAATCCTTCTGTCCCTCTCTGTCCCTCCTTCACATCATATTGCACACGTACATGTATACATCCATACAAGCAGGCAGACAGACAGACAGGCAGACAAACAGACGTACAGACATACAGCATACATACATGCGCACACATACATACGCACGTACGTACGTACATACTTGCATACATACATACGCGTCCCACTTTTCTGTATGTATACATGCATTCATAGTCATAAACCATACGTGTGTGTGTGTGTAAATATATGCATGGTCACACACAGACATGCATACAAACATGTAGACATGCATATATGCATGCATGTATATGTACACCTATATATCATAATACATACAAACATAAATGCATACATACATGCCCCTCCCCTAGGCTTTGCCAACTCGGCGATTATGTTTGGAAAATCAGTGGTGCCGCCCTCAGGGGCGTCCAAGAGAGCCCCAGGACAGGCCCAGGACGTCCCCGAGACAGCCGAAGAGTGCTCCAAGATTGTCCAAGCCAGCCCCCAGAGGGCTCTGATGCCAAAATCATTCAAAAATTGTGGTAAATGAATAGTTTCCGGTTTTCTTGCACTTCCACCTCCGACACGCTTCCGAAGCTTGCGCAAGCCCTCCAAGAGAGCTCCAAGATGCCCCCAGGAGGTGTCCCGAGCGGCGCGAAGTGGCCCCAAGAGGCCAAAAGAGAACCCTCTATGACGCCCGGAGAGGCACCACCGAGGCCACAAAAACGCTCCGAGCAGGCCCCAACGAGCTCCCAGGAGCCGCCTCGGAAGCAGCCCGCGCCGAAGAGGGCCCCGAGAGGCCCTCAAGAGCTCCCAAGAGGCCCCCAGGAGAGCTCCAAGATGTTCCCGTGAGCCGCTCGGAGCGCATCGTGTGCAATGATGTTAGCCTCTCGACGGCTTCCGCGGAGCTCTTCGGGAGCTCTTGGAGGGCTCTTGGGGCGATCTTGGGTGCCCTTTTGGGTCTCCAGAGCCAACTTGAGGAAGGGAATTCCATCACATTTATCTTGTCAAGTTCGCACGTCCCCCTCCGTTCCCTCCTGTCCAAGGCTATGGCGTGCCCCAGAGTGTGTGTGCGTGTGTGCGTGTGTGTTCCGTTTCCGTTTCGCCCATCCTTCGTTGTCCGTTCTTTGTGTTCTCTCTCTCTCTCTCTCTTTCCTGCTCTTGGTTCTCCTTCGTCTCCCGTTCCACATCCTTCTCATTCCTCTCCTCCCTCCTCCCCGCTCGTCATTTTTACCTCCTCCCTCCTCTTCAACTCTCCTTCACGCCTTCCTCTCTCCGCCTCACTCATGCGTTTCCGCCTCCCCCCTCCCTCATCTCCTTGACTCCTTCCCTCCGCCGCCCTAACCCAGCATCCTGCCCCACTGAGAGGTATGAGGCCCATCTTGAAAACCTCCCTCGAACCCTTTTTTTCCAGCCGACGCCATTCGACATTTCGAACCCAGACGCCAAGAGCCCAGCGGAGCCCTCCAAGGCGCGTCTAAGAAGTCCCAAGAGTCCACCGGGAGACCCCCACCAAAAACCGAAGAGACCCCACCCCCAGAAATCCCAAGAGCCCTCCAATAACTTCCCCCAAAGGCCAGAACACCACCGCAGATGATTCCGGTCAGCAGGCGCGCCGGACCGGAACGGAAACGGAAAACATAACCCTGGAGCAGAACACGAAAATCCGTTTTCCGGTTTCCGTTTTCCGGTTTCCGTTCCATGGTTTCCGTTTTCCGGTTTCCGGTCTGGGCAGAAAACGAAGTTGCGTTTTCCGTTTTTTTTCTTCGGGTTTCCGTTTTCCGGTTTCCGATTTCTGTTTTCCGTTTTCCGGTTTCCGGTTTCCGTTTTCTGTTTTCCGGTTTGGGCAGAAAACGAAAATCCGTTTTCCGTTTTCCGGTTACCGTTTTCCGGTTTCCGTTCCATGGTTTCCGTTTTCCGGTTTCCGTTTTCCGGTTTTTGGTTTCCGTTTTCCGGGTTTGGCAGAAAACCAAATTCCGTTGTCCGTTTTCCGTTTTCCGGTTTCCGTTTTTTGGTTTCCGGTTTCCGCTTTCCAGTTTCCGTTTTCCGTTTTCCGTTTTCCGGTTCCCGGCTTGGGCAAAAAAGCGAAGTTCTGTTTTCCGTGTTCCGTTTTCCAGTTTCCGTTTTTCGTTTTCCGGTTTCCGGGTTCCGTTTTCCGTTTTCCGGTTTCCGTTTTCCGTTGTCCGTTCTCTAGTTTGCGTTTTATTGTTTGCCGCCCGCACCCAGCACAGGCCCCCCCCCTTTCTTGTCGTCAAAAGCTGGTACACCGAGGGGCCGTTCTTGTGGAGTTGGGCTTCAGTTTACTTTCGGTACGCCTCGTCCAGACAAGCTCAACATTTGCCAGGGCACAAGTCAAGAGGTCGACAGTTGCATTCGAATGCCTGGTGACTGTACGGCACCACGGGCACCGGCGGATTGGCGCCAGAAGGTCCAGACTCTCCTGCCAGAGCTTCGCTACTTTCCCCGTCATCCACGCCGTCATCCTCGTCATCGGCCGCCTTGTCGTCGCTCGCTTCTTTTTGTTGGTTTACGTTCGAGCCTAACGGACAAACGCGGCGCTCTGCGTTCTTGTCCGATCAGGTTGGCGCCAGAGGGTCCGGAATCTCCGGCCAGAGCCTCGCGAGCCGATGGCGGTGCTGATCGTCCCCCCGACCCTCTCTCGCTGCGCCGGGCGGCCCGGCCGTTGCCGCTCGGGCGGTGCGGCAGGACGGCCCTGCCAGGCCAGCTCGTGGGTTCTCCGCGGCATGGCCAATGAGAGCTGGGACTGGGAACCCCGGATCTCTGGGCTCCGCCTCGATGGCAGGGGCCCCGAAACAGCTCGGGGAAGCTGGGCGACCACACGAGCGGCTCTCAAAAGCGGGCCTCACGCGAGATGGCACAGCGGCCTTACGCCACAGCTTGCGCGGGACGCGAGCGCGGCACGCTGCGTTTTTTCCACGATCAAGAGCGGGCCCTACGCGAGATTGCATAGCGGCCTAACGCGGCGGCTTGAGCGGGCCGCCAGCGACGATAAGATTTGGTCGATATGGGCCGCGCCCCTCGATCTCGACCTCTGGGGCCCGTCTTTCGGGCCTCGGGGCCACCAGCATGGGATCCGCGGGGCGAGGCACTACCCCCAGGGGCAGGAGTCGGGAGCTGCTGGGGGGTCGCGGATAGAACAAAAAATCAGACAGCCGGACCGAGGTACAAGATCGAGGTCGGCTCGTGGAGGGTAACCTATTGTTCTTCGTGTTTGTGGGATGTTCCACGCGCTCAGGGCGTGACCCGTCCCCCTGAGAGGCCTCGCTCCCTTCCCGCCCCCTCCTTCGGCCGCTTCCTCTGCCCTGTCCCCTTCTCCTGCATGGTGGCGCACTTCGCTACAACGGCACCCCCGTTTAGTTAGCTCTCCGCCAGCGCAGTTACTCTGCCTAGCCGCCGACGCAAAAAAAAAACAGTGAGATGTTTTGGGGGCATCCTGGGGGATGAGATTCTCGAGTGATCGTATGGTTTGGGTTGTTTTGGCCGGCGGATGGCCTCGTGTTCTTGTGGGATGTTCTTCAGTCCTGGGTCCGATTGCATTGGGGGATGTCTGGAACCGACGCCGAGCTCCCCCGCCCCATGTTTGCTGCTTACCGCCTGCCCCCCCGCCAACCAACAGTCTTCCCTCCCCAGTCAAAGATTGATGCACCGAGGGGGGCTGTTCCCGCGGAGTTGGGGTTCAATTCAACTTCGGCGTGCCCTGTTCACTTGGATTTCGTTCCTCACGTGGCAAAGATCAAGAGGTCCACGGATGCATTACATTGATCCGTGCGTTCGCAGATATGGCCGCGCCCGAGCAGGAGGAGGGGCCAGAGGTCGTTCTCTGGCCTGGGAGATTTGCACTTCTCCTCGGCAAGCGCCAGAGAAAGTGGCCTGGAGGCGCCGATGGGCACCTAGCGCCGCTGGCGAACACAGATGGCGGGAGCGAGGAGAGCCTAACCGCCTCTCCCTTTTGGGCTTAGCTGGTTCTCGCGCTCGGTGACGATGAGCAGGCCATACAATGCTCGCAAGCAGGGCCTGACTTCCACGAGTGGGAGTTCGCCAGCCACGCGTGGGTCACAGCTCGGGGGCCATTCATGGAGAGGTTCGGCCGAAACTTAACCAAGGCTGGGATCGACCCTCTCCGAGTTCTCGCCCCGCGAGGCTACTTCAGAAGATGGTGTTGGCCAGGTCAGACAGAGCAAGACGGAAAGATTTTTGCGGAGGGTCTGTAATGATGCCCGCGTGCTTCAGTGTCTTGCCTTCCACTGCCTGCGGCGTCGGCGAGAATTATTGGACATATGTTTCACTAGCTTACGCCACACCGCCGACCCCCTAGGCCCGCAGATGCCAAGATCTTAGTCTAGGCGCTCCGCGTAACTCCACGAGCTCACGCAGAAACGATGTCCAGGCGAGTTGCCCTGACCCCGGACACGGAGGAGCACGCAGTGGAATAAGTGATTGGGGAAACCGTCGTACAACGAGAGGGGGAGGACAGAGGAGGAGGAGGAGGAGGAGGAGGAGGAGGAGAAGGATGAGGGAGAGGGAGAGGGGGGGGGGCGGAGGGAGGAGGGATGAGGAATAGGCGGATGAGGAATAGGAGAAGGAGGAGGAGGAAGAGGAGGAGGAGGTGAGCTGAAGGGCCAGAGGCCTCCTGCATGCCTCTCGGAATCTCTTCGTATGTCTCTCGAGAGCTTCTTGGAGTCCTGCTTGGACGTCTTGGGGGTGCCCTGGCGGTCCCAGGACCCTCTTGCAGCGTCTTGGCACCCCAGGCCTCTTGGGGGGTTCTTGGGAGCTTCCTGGGGACCTTTTTTTGTGGCCTTTTGGGGCCGCTTGGGCGCCTCTTGGGGCCCTCCTGGGGCACTCTTGGAAGCCTTGGAGACCATCTTTGGGCCATCT